GCCTAGAAAAAACTAGAGTTGCCAGGAAAAGTCACGATCCTTTGAGAATCTCATGACGTGTTACAAGCGTCACGTGACTTCCGCTGTCGTAACAGTACGTTATAAAAAAACCTTGCAACAAATTACAATAAGCCAACTATTACAGTATTTGTAAAAGAACAACCTTTTAATACATGAACACGCAGGAGAAGTAATCTTGTAACTTTTACGCGTGTTAAATTATACACATTTTCATCATTGAAATAAAACACGAAAATATAAGTATCTTTTTTGTTTGGGCAAGTCTTGTGGTTGTTTACTATGTCAATAATTACGGAAAGTACATCATCTCAAGTCAGAGTCCTAAAAAACTCAAACTTATTTAATCTTATATTTGATTCCATAAAATTTATTTGACTAACAACTCATTCCAGCTTTACAAAATACAAAGTTTTTCAACGAATACATTGCACGTGTATTTTTGTTTTCCTTTTCTTTTCCTTTTTATAATAGTAACAAAATTAAATAGGATGTATAATTTTGAACTTCACCGCTTTCATCGTGATTAAATACGTGTGTCATTTACAGATGCCGCTACTTTCGCTCCATCGAAAAACCAAAGCCTTCTAAACAACACAAAACAATAATACAGAATGTAATTAGACACTATTATTTAATCTTTTTAAATTTAAAGTATGAATTTAAAAAAGTTTATATGTAAAGTTTAATATTAAACACTGAGTCAAACCAGAATAACCAAGAACATTTGTTCGTACTACAAGAGAAACTGTAGTTAGCACACAAAAGTTTCTGAAGAGACAGTGGTTATGTTATTTGAAAAGAACCGTATATATAAAAAAAACGAATAAGTTCAACGTTATTGGCAATAGGTAGTTCTTTTTTAAGTATACTAAATCCTATGCCCCCCAGTGGCACAGCGGTATGTCTGCGGACTTACAACGCTAAATACCGGGTTTCAATACCCGTGGCGGGCAGAGCACAGATAGCCCATTGTGTAGCTTTGTGCTTAATTCTAAACAAACAAACAAAATCCTATAATGGCAAGAAGAAGAAGAGTGCCCGTTGAAGGGGTTTACGAAAGAAATTCCTCAAAGGCATTTTGTGAGGGATTGATAGAAAGAAAACTTAAATATAAAATAGTAAATATATCATCGTTAATTTACTTTACTTTCTGTAATCATATTACTGCTATACAGAGTGTGTTGTAGTTGTTTGGGAGGTAGGGGGTGGAATCCTTTCATATTTTTTAAAGCGTTACTGTCACAGTGTGTTGTTATGTATATTAACATAATATATTTGATCCTAACAAAAAATGGTTTTAATTTATAGCCTACGTGCCATTTAGTTGTATTCCAGTTACTCTAGATTTGTGGAAAGAGATAGATTTCTCGTACACTGAGGGTGTATGGGCACCGTTGCCAGGAAATAATTTTAACTTTAAGTAAATAAAAAATGAGGTTTTAATGCAATTAGTATTTATATATATATATATATTAAGTTAAAGAGTTACTAATTTTAAACTTTCTGAATATTAGGCTGGGCTATAGATTTACAGCTCTTTACGTTATATCTTATAAACTAAAGTACGCGATTTAGTATTTGACAATGATAAATTATATTGGGGTTAACTTAGCTGCTCAAGATCCACTAGTATGACTGTTTTTGGTGTTTGGAATGTACTTGTAAAGTTCATGCAAATACAAGTTTTAAGACATTTTAATACACTAATTTAAAATAAAAATATATTATAAGTAAAATTATTATTTTAAAATCGTATCGCTGAATTTAGTTAGAAGTTAGTATTGTTACGACAGCGAAAATCACGAGTTTCTAGAAGGATCATGACTTTTCCTTGCAACTCTAGTCTTTTCTAGGCGCCCTCTATTTTAGCATATATGCCCGGCAAATAAAGCGGAGATAATAGTTGCAGATAGATAGAGATAGAGACAGATAAGTGAGTCAAGTGACGGTAATATAAAGTGTGTGTTTTGTTATGGAGATTGCAAACGTATTGACTGTGGAAATTCTGTGTATTATAAAGTTGTATCGAGAAATAATAAACTAGTTTTAGTTAAGAAAGAACTTGTATTGCTGAAGTTTCTCGGAAAGAATTTCTAAGGGAAATTAACAAACGAACAGAGACGTAACAGTATGATTATCATAACTAAAGTTTGATGGTAGTAATTTAACTTGAGATATAAAATTGTTACCAATTTTTGAAAAAGTTTAAGCTTTTTATAGAGTATATAAAATAAACTGAATACCCTAACTTTAAGTGACGATCTGAGATCTGCATTTTATAGTAGTAGATAGCTCATTTATGAAAAAAGCAAATACACTTCTAAGCTCTTAAATACGTTTTTGAGAGAATAATGCTTTTTTTCTCTCTATTATTTTAAACAATTTATGGAAAGAACAAGGAAACTAGGTTTGATTTCATGGTATTCCAAGACATCGGTCCTTTGTACGTAAGTTCGGAGAAGACAAACCAGATTCAAATTTGAGGAGGGTGATGTTTAATTTACAATGAACAAATGGTAAGAGCAAACTTTATCTCGATTATCATAAAACATAAGAGTGTAATTACAACAGTAATCTATCAACCATTGTGTTTTTATGTTTGTTTGTCGCCACCAACCTTGGCTTATAAGCTACCCTAATCTAATTTGCACCCTGAAGGTTCAAAACATCCAATTTCTTACTTCGAAAACTAGCTGTCTAAAAATCAACAGCGATTACTAAGCCTATTCAAGCACTTTGCTTTTCTTAAACAGCCAGTTTAATTCTGATGTGCAATTAAAAATATTTAATATAAGTCAACACATTTGGTTGTGCGAGCTACTACCCTTTTAACTTCTTAGTGTATTATAGCAGCAATAAATTACTATTCATCTTTACAAAAAAGCTTTAAACCTATCCTGCCAAAGATAGGACATCACATTATCTTTTTATTAATTCTAGAGAGTGACGTACTATGGAACATTAACAGGTTTATAATTAAGATTTGTTGTTTTTAAACACAAAGTTACACAAAAGGCTATCGGTGCTCCGCCCTCCACGGGTATCGAAACCCGGTTTCAAGCAATATATGTCCACATACATACCACTGTGCCACTGGGGGGCTTATAGTTAATATCATTTCATTTTAAACTTGATGTATTAATATTATCATAACAATTCATGTTTGAAACCAAACATATTATCATGTATTACGACTTAACAAAGCTTAAGCAATTTATATTTTCAATTATATATAATAATATCTATATTTCTTATTTATTCTTCACGTTCTTTAATTTGATGTTTATATGTAATCTAATTACAATAATACTTGTATTTCTTACTTATTCTTCAGGTTCTTGACTTGGATGTTTATATACATATATATAATAATATCTAAATTTCTCATTTAATCTTCAGTCTCCAGGTGGGACAGCGTTAAGTCTATAGACTTACAACGGTAACGTCAGGGGTTTGATTCCTCGTGGTGGACATAGCAGATAGGGCCCGGCATGGGCAGGTGGTTAGGATACTCGACTCGCAATGGGTCGCGGGTTCGAATCCCCGTCACACCAAACATGCTCGCCCTTTCAGCCGTGGGGGCGTTATAGTGTGACGGTCAATCCCACTATTCGTTGGTAAAAGAGTAGCC